ACAGCCAATCAGGTTTGTTATATTTTTCCTGTAATCTACACTTAAAATTGAGTATCTGTACCGAATTTCAGCTCACCAGGTTGAAATATGTAGAAGTTAAGGGGGGACGGCCCATTTTGCGTGGCTGGGACGGACACACGAGTGATTTCATAAGGGTTCCGTCAGTACACCTATGGTGTACGGAACCCTAAAAATAATTTTAAAAAAATGCAAAAAATGATGAAATTCTTGAAACCGTTTTTCAAGAAGTAAGAATAAATCGGATAAGTCGAGAAGAATTTCAAAAGCGGATGTTGGGCGAATACAAAAACAAGGAAAAAACAATGGAACATAGAGAGAATATGAGGAATATAGTCGACAAGAAATTAAAAATTCTTGAGGACTTAAAAAGGATCCTCACAGGAAAATCAGTTATATAATTTTACAAATTGTAGTTGTTACGGTATAACCTCACAGTTTAAAATAAAATAAAAAAAAATTATTAAAATTAAAAATTATTTTAATAATCCTATAAAACATTTCTCGCTAGTAATATAATTGACAGGTGATATCCTCGATATCACCAAGCATAAGCTGCGTCAGCATCGCATCGGAAACAAAGTTGGCTTACTTGAGCATATTTCTTTATAACTAACAAAAGGTTAGTTAACAATAAATTTTATGAATTTCAGGAAATTACCAAATATTAATATAAAACCTTTCAATTGTAGTATTTATAATAATTACCGGTAATAACGATTTCTGATGAGCGCAGTAACATGCAGCTATAAACAAATTATTGTCTATAATTTAAAAGAATTAATATTTTTTTTGACAAAACACTCTAAATTTTCCCGAAATTGTTCCTCTTCAACTCCAGCCGACGTAAAATTCAAAATGGAGAAACAACATGCATTTTACTTGAAATATTGAATAAAACCTGTTGAAAGTACTTAAATCGGAATGGCAGTCACTTAAAAGTAATAATAAACCTTGCGGCAACATTCCCATTTTGAGAAACCTCGAATGGCAATGTTGCGAATGTTGCAACACATAAAACGAAGCTTGCGGCATCTGCCTGAACAGTTTCCACTGGGTCGCAACAGTCCCATTTTGAAAAACCTCGAACGGCATCTGCCTGAACAGTTTCCACTGGGTCGCAGCATCCACAATTCAAAATTAACGCATGCCAATTAAATATGATTCCATAACTGAATGTCGAACGTATGAGCTATGTGCTCACACTCTGCGACTGCGAAATAATCTAAGAAAATTTTATTTCAATTTTAAAATTAACATCGCATGTATTTTGATTGTAAAATTGATATGTTGTCAAAATAATTTTTAAGAACAAAAAGAAATTTTGAAAGTACATAATGTAACAATAAATTATTAAAATCAACTACGAACCAGTATAAATGAACAGAAAAGAAATTGTTTTATAAAATAAAAATAATAAATTAAAATTAAAATAAAGAAATAAAATAATCCGTAATTATATCGCTTAGACCCACACATCTTTGGATGGCTGTGGCAATGCATACGCATACATACGAGCTCCTTGGGACAATGCTAACTGTAGCGACACGCACACAGACGTACTATGCATAGTACATACCACTCACACATTGTAGGCTTCACTCGTTGCTTCTTCTCCTTCGTTGCATCCTTCCCTCTTCCCCTGGGCCCTATGTGCTTGCCAAACAAACGCACGTGCGATGATCCAAGCTGGATATTATTTCTTTTTAAGTGCAACGAAATAAATTTTAGAAATTATTTGCGGAATTTAAAATAAAAAGATGTTTCTGAAGTTGCCAAAATAGTTACAACTGAAACATTATCATGAACACTATTGCATTATTACTGGTAAATAATTTTAATTAATTATTTATAACAATAATAGCAATAAACAAAAAAAAAGAATTATTATAAATAAATAAAATTTTTTCTTTTTTTTATTTTCTGTAATTCACGATTGGAATTGTTGGAAATAATAATTCCTCAAAAGTATCATATTTCTGCAAACTAATCTCCGGTCTTACGCCTAGCGCAAGGATCCAAAGTCAGCAAAAATCGCATCGACCAATGGGCCTAAAGTTCCTATCCCACTTCTACTCCCACAAACCACCTGTTCTACCCCAAAATCTTCCCCCAGATTTAGAAGCGAGGAGCAAAGGCTTAGAAAGAATTTTCCAAATTCGCAGTACAATTTTCGCCTTGTTAGTCAGCTCCTCGCGGAGGCATAAACGCATTGCGAATTGCCGGGACTCGCCCGTCTGTTAATCGGCCCCTAGTCTAACAGACCACTACAAGATAGTTCTTTGTATTTTTCTGTAATGATTTTCTTATTCTTGGTTTAAAATAAATTGTACTTTTTATTTGAAATCTTGTTCTCTTTAATGTCTTTATATTTGATCTCTGTTAATATCATCATTTTACTAAATTAGAAAAGGTGTTGCTTGGTAAATTCTTTTAAAAGAGATAAACGAATCCCATAAATTAAAAACAGGGCCATCCGGCCCTGGCAGCTTGTTTCCTCCGGCGAACCTCCGCAGGCGCGCGGTAGATTTTTTTTCATCGCTCGACAAGTAAATTTTATGTTTCAAAGTTTTGATTTCTGGATTTTTCTTCGAATTTTAATAATTTAATAAATAATTATTTTTCGGTTCGTAACAGTAGTAAGTTAGATAATGTAAATAAAAATTAAGATTTATTATATTTAAATAATATTTATTTGTACAAAAAAAATGTTTTATGTAAATAAAATAATTGTTCACATTTAAATGAGAATATAAATTCATTACAAAAAATTTATTAATTAAAACGTGCATTCCATTTTATTTAAATTATATTTTCAATGCCCTTATTTATTAGTTTTATTTTAATCTTAAAATAATATTATGCATTTTGTTTAAAAATAATATTATGCACAATGTATTTTGTTTTTTTCAAAGTAAATGCTTTGCAAAAGCATTAGGCATTATGTTACGTTCCGAGCAAGAGCGAGGCTTTTAAATAAAATTAAATGATTTATTTAAAATAGATTTTAAAACCAGTTAGCCGATTAATCAGGTTGGTAAAGCCTGATCTTTATTTTTATTGTAGGATCGTGATCACTTGTCAAAACTATGGGCTTTGCGTTAATAACAAGATAAATATTCCTTTTATTTAATTTATTGTTTATAGTAAGAAGAAAGTTACAATTGTTACAAATTGTTACTTACGTTTAATTACAGATTCGTTGACAAGATTATCGCAGGGTTGTTATAATTGGTTTTCTTGGTTTGAACTCGTTTCAATTGAATGAAACTAAAAGTTTGTTTTATTACACTTGTGTAATATTCACAACTTTATAACAGTTTTTGTGCTAAAATAACAGTTTCACGTTTTCTAAGTGTTAAATTATTTATCTTGCACCTTTTTAGGGGAAAGAAACTTGTTTCTAAGTGACAAATAATGTAACTTGCACCTTTATGGAAAGAATTAGTGAAATTTATACTATTAATTATTAATCACAAATACGACAGTTAAAATAGCAAAATTATCAACTCTAAGTGTTAAATTATTTGTCTTGCACCTTTTTAGGGGAAAGAAACTTGTTTCTAAGTGATAAATAATCTAACTTGCACCTTTTTACGGGAAAGAATACAATAATTCGCGTTTTAACCGAAGGGTCGCTCTACAATGATACTGTCCGCACTGAACTACACCGGAACTTTTGACAATTGCTCTTGAATTTGCAGGGGTTTATATAGGACTTTTAGTCCATGTATCGTGTGGGGACAATAGTAAAAAGCACGATTCTAGCCAAAAGAGCATATGTCACGTTTCTAGCTAAAACAACATTGAGCACGTACGGATGTAATATGATCTTTTCTATCTTATTCTATTTTCTATCTATCTATTATTCGAGCTTATAATCAATACTTAGTTCGATATCTGTTAAATTCAAATGTTGTTACATGTTTTCAGTCTTTTAATCGAATCGACAATCGATTATCGATTAATCGATTGTCGATTATCGATTAATTTTCGATTCGATCAATTTAAAGGAATTTCAAATTGATTGTCCGATGACATACGACTAATAACAACATTCGAATGTTATTTGTTTGATTAAATAATTATTATTAGTAATATTAATTAGTTTTGTAATTTGCATTTATTCTTTCTATCATCTTTTTAATCATGCGTCATCTCTTGTCATTCATGGCTTTGACACTTGTCGCAAAAGCATAGTACGTTGACTCAGTTTACTATTTCATTCATATGAGTAGTAACACGTGTTAATGACTCATATGAATGAAGGATTATAATATTTACTTATGATTTCTATCTTATGCTTTTATATTTTAAAATTTGTAATAAATAATGCATTAATTTGGACTATGCCTTTGGACATTGTTCGAACATTAAATTTATGGTTTCTATTTAGTTAATTAGTTAACTAAATTATTAAATTTTTATGAAATTTGTATAAGTTCAAAATAAATCGGGATATAACAGTCCTCCCTCCTTAAATCGTTCTTCGTCCTCGAGGAACTTAAATAGTGTATTCTGAACATTCGTAATTTTTACATTTTAGTAGTTGGAGTGATTTTAATAAATTATACAATAACTAATGTGCTGACAAGGTAAGTTGACAATCTAAAGTTTATTTTGAAATGTAGTGAACGTGTCTAAAGTAAGATACATGAAGGATGAGGTAAGTTGTTGTAGAAACATCAGCGAATTGTTCCACGGTCCAGATGTTCTTTATGAGACAAAGGTTTTGCTGTTATCATCAGTTTTGAGGGATGGTGATCTCAGGATCCACGATCTTTATATCCATTGTTCTCTTCAGTTTGCCGTTGATAATGAGTGATACAAGTTCGATAAGCGACGTCTCTACTGTTGATTTCTTTAATTATTGCGTAGAAAACATGATTTCGGTATCGTCGTCGCTTCTTACAGAAATTCCTCATGGTGAGGTAATTTGGTGTTTAATTTTTCTTTTCTCTTAATTTTCTCTCTTTTTCTTTTATTATTATGAGTGAATTAAATGACATTAGTGATAGTGATAATGATTATATTGAACAATTTAATTTGGATTTATTCAATGATTCTTTGAATCAGGAAGAAAATGTGCGCGAATTGAGTGACAATTTAAATTTAATGGAAAATCGTAGTGTAAATAGTCAATCTGCCATAGAAGAGACAATTGCATTGCCTTCAACGTCGTCGGGACAAAATGCTTCCAGATTGACAGTTGAAGTTTCCACAGAGTATGGTGCAAATTTTCCTTCAACTGGTGCTGCATCTGCTGATAGTTTTCCGACATTAAATATCGAACTTTGTGATTATGACAATTTAACTCGTCAATTAGGACCTTCAGTTTCTAGTTCTTCGATTTTTCACGTTTCCCAACATAGACTTTTGGGTTTAAGAATTGTTGATATTGAAGAATCATTAGGCATCTATCAATTCGCTTTTTGGAGAGTGCCCTTTGGAACTGCCGCACGAACAATCTGTGACTTGTGTTCATCCATTCTCCAGATTCCTTTCGATATTAGTGATTTTAAAATAATAAGACGATTGGACTCTAAACGTAAGGGAGTGATAGTGCGTGTTCCTAGTGTGGAGTTAAAAAGAACAATTTTAACACTAAAGCACATTTTTTTGTATAGAGGATACCATTTGGATATCCTATAATTTATTATGTAATTAGCTTTTGTGTAATGTTTATTGCATATATATATAATTATATTTCTAAATTTGTATTCTTTGTTTTGTTGTTTATAGATTCCTTTAATAGTGCTTTCTCTCATCGACCTTTCAAAATTGAATTATTGGCTCGAATTATTTTTGGTGTCACTGAATTGCATAGGATATCCAGGGAAATAAAGAATTTAAAATGTCCTCGGGGATTTGCACCAAATTATCAAATAATAAGCTGTCCTGACTCACAACTGAAAATGATTTTCCGCAAATTACCAGCCTCTTGGTCGGTGGTGAGGGGAAGTTCAATAGAAGTGCGAAAACTAAAAATTTCCAAGTCGAAATTGGAGAGGAAGTTGATGCGTTTGGTTGCAGCCCTTGTTGTATCTTCTCAAAATAAGGCGTGTCTTGTGAGGTAATTTGAAGGTTATCTTTTGTGAATTATTTAAGTTTTATCGATTATATATATAATTTTTGTTTTCAGTTTAAAGGGAAAAAACGGACGTTTTTGTCGTTGTGGAAGATTTATTCCAATTAATCGAAGGGAATTGACGTGTATTTGTGGTGTCAATAATGCAGTTTTATTAATTAATGAATCCGAGGAAGAAGAAGTAGATGTAGTTAATTAATTATTACAAAATTTTTTTCTTTATATATTTTTACACATACACATACATGAACATACATCCATACATACATACATACACTTCTTAAACAATAGTTGCAATGTTTATTATAATAAATTAATTTAATTAATGTAATATCGCATTTTATTCTATTTCCTTGTGTCAACTAATTTTCTTTGAATTTTAATTTTTAATTTCTTCCAAATTATCGACTTTTATATGCATTATTCGTTAATCAATATCGATTGCATTTTTAATTCAATAATTTTTATTTTTTTCATGATTTTGTGCTAAATTCTATTTGTCCTTAATTTTCTTATATAAATTATTGTCAAAATCGATTTATTTATTGATTAAATCGATAATTCAAGTTGAATTCGTCGAGAGAAGCATCAGGAAAACACGAGTGCAGAGGGAGTATGTTCGCAAGTTCGAGCAGAAATCGAGAGATTTCAACGCCTGGAACGTCGGTACAGTCGGCGAGCAACTTAATGCGGCCTGAAAGTCCCATGTCTTTCTTCTTCTCTCTTTCTTTAATTTTTCTTTGAGGTAGTTATTATTTAGAATTTTAAATTGATATTTGAAATTTCATTTGTTAAAGTTTTTCGATGATTATTTAATGCTACCATTATAATAGCAATATTTTGTTAATTTTGTTTATTAATCTACAATTATATATATAAAATATGTTTTTATTAGTACAAGAAATTTTTCTCCTATATGTTATAATTGTTAGTGCTATTATCATTATTATTATTAATATTATTATCATTGAATTCTCAATGTTATTGATTTTAATTTTTTTTTTTTTTTTTGTTTAATTAATTGAAGTTTATTTTAATCATTAAAATTATAATTGTTAATATGTCTTTTTAATTTTATTAAAATTAATTGTGTGTGATTATATAAAGTATTTTGCATCGATGTTTTTATCAATAATCATTAACAATTCAATAATATTTAAGTTTCAAGACGAGAATTATAACAAACGAACATGCACGGTAAGAGTGTAAGCGACATCGGAAGATGCATGAGTTGGAGACTTTAATGCCTTTCGATCTCGCTCACCGTATAAGAGAGGCGTGGGCCTGTATGTACAGCTATTGGGTAGGAGGCGTGGGCCTGGCCACACAGTGTGTCGCGGGAGACCCTCCTATACTCTTATGCTTCTCTGATACTTTCAGCTCGACGTTGGGACTTTTAAAGTCATTTATTATTAACAATAATTGTTAATAATACTAATAATTTTGTTCTTTGTTCATTTTGACAACTTATTGTTCTAATTTTATCATGTGGATATTTTATTTTTATTAAATTTTATTAAAATATTAAGATTAACAATCATTAATTAATTGTTGTTTATCAATTAATTATTATTATCTAATTTATATTTAGTTATTCAACAATTAATTAGATTGAAAAGTTGTCATAATTCGTGATATAAATTATTACAATTTATTAGGGTAGTTTTTGTTAATTGTTACTTGTTAATATTTAATTAATTAATTAATTATATTTTATGTTATTTTTATTATTATTAGTATTCATTAATTATTTTAAAATTATTATTAAAATTATTATATATATATATATTTTTTTTTTGTTAACAAAATATTACTCCAGTTTGCTTAATCCTTTAATGTTTGTATGGAAATAATATTTTATTAGAATATTCATATGAATTAATAATTATTGATTATGTATTAATAATGAAGCTTGATTATTATTATTTATTTTGTTATTGTAGGTTAATTAGACGTTATTAAGCATATTTAGTACTTATAAGCATGGCTGTTGAAAGTTTTGTTCGATTTCCATCATGAAGAGCGAATTTTAAAATTTGAATTTGAATTATTTGCCGCTTTTTCATGATGGTTGCCGAATCAAGCATGCGCAATATATGCATAGCTTCAAGATCTATTCATGCGGTCGATGTTTATAAGCTTAAGGTTTCCAGCGCGCTGGTTTGAATTGTGTTGCTTCTTGGCGGTTTATAGTGGCCTGGTTATGTCGACTCTTATAGTGGTTTTATTTCTCCAAATTTTTCGGGATTTTTGGGCCTGGTCCTCCCTCCTTAAAGTGTACATTGTCCTCAATGTATGTGGGTTGCAATTGGGCCAATAATGCATATTTTTTGTTTATACGTTGGATCGATTATTCGATCTTTGTCTTCTCATTGTTACGACTTTATAAAGTACGTATAGGTTTTTAACTACTATCAATGCTATCAATAATAATAATATTTTGAAAGCTATTGACATATAATTAACAGCTTCAGATATATGTCCCAAAAATGGAATTTCCATCTGCAACATGAAATGTATTTTAGATTTTATTCTTATTTTAGGTTTTTATTAAAATGAGGAGGAAAGAAGAAGGCGACCGCCAAATCCCCTTCCTTCTTTTTCTTTCGTCCTTCTTTTAATTTTTATTTATTGTTTAATTCTTAATACATGTGATTTTATAATATTTTGTTGATATATAATGGATATATATATTTCTTAATACTATTGATTATATTTCTTAATTTTAATTAAAATTTGAAGTAGTGTTTTTATCTGATCCAAGTGTTTTTTCTACTTCATGATATTTATTAGTTAGTTAAACTATTGATTATAATATATATGTTATAACGGTGGATTATTATATAATATTATTATTGATTAATTATATTTAAAGAAATTAATAAGGGTTATATTAATTGATTATTTAATAATATCCATATGTAATTCTTGGTGTAATATACTAATTATTGTAATTATTTAGTAAGCATGGTATTGGTTATGTAATTATTATTCTAGTAATATTGATTATTATATATAAGTATAATATTTATGATTATATAGGTTTTGTAATAATGTGATTTTTATAATTATTTACATCTTGATAAACATTTTGTTCATTAATTGATAATTACATTATTTTTTTTTTTTTAATATTGTGTTAAATTTATCTTCAATATATGGGTAAAATTTGAATTTTCGTTTCTCATTAACAGTCGGTATATTAGATAATTTATTGGTTATATTATCATCTTGACAGTTGGTAATTCAATTCGTTAATTAATTGTTTAGTTTTTGAATTTTAATATTTTGTATTGTTATTAATTAATTATGTATATTATTATTATTATTTGTTTTATTATTATATTGATTTTATTTATCGGTTGTTAATTTGATATGGATGTTGTGTTTTTTTTTTTTTTTTACGATCTCAACTAAGGGCTTTTATCTCCTTAGAATTTGCAAGGGTCATCAGTTTTTGAAAATGACTCATTTCAAAACAAGACAACGAGATGAACGGAGGTAAGTGACATTTGGTTTTAATTATTTATATTTTTAACTTTAATATTTACTATTTTTATTAGTAGTTAATAAATTTTTGTGTTCTTTTAGAAGACAATAATAATTCTGATGAGGAATGTCGTCATTGGAGGCATGCCGGGCCCAACGAAGGGGGTATTTAGTTTTTAATTTTTGAATTTATTTATTTATTTATTTATTTTATTTTATTTTTTTTTTTTTTTTTTTTTTTTTTTAAATTTAATATTATTTCATAAAAATTTTTTTTTTTTGTTTCAGAGTATGGTTACCAAAATCTATTGGTAACCCGATTCATGGGTGGGGGGCGGCTTTTTATTCGCCCCCCTTATATAAATTTAAAAATAGTGGTTGCTGGGGACGGGACGAGATACGTCCTATTTCCTGGTCAGGCCCGTTTTGGGCCTGGTTGTTAGTTTTAAGATTTTCTATTTTGTATTTTAGTTTTAGTTTTTATAATAAATAAATTGTTTTAAATTTAATTTAGTCTTTTTCTTATTTAATGGTTCTCTTTTTTTTTTTTTTTTTTTTGAACGGCCCATATTTGTGAGCTCCGCAAGTTGAGCACACAATTATGGGCATAATACGCTTGGCCCGTATTTATGGGCTTTGTATATATAGAGAAGCCCATAATTACGGGTCTTATTAATATTTTTATTTGCACTTATGTGCATGAATTTAAATGTTGGTGGGGAATTTTAAATTTTTATGGAATCTAGGGAATTTTATTTTAAGTAGTTTGTGAAGTCACTAGCTTTAAATTCACTATGATATATGTATTGATATTTATCATCTAGTGTTTTACATAGGGACTTTTATTTTCAGTAGTTTTGATGAGTGTACCTTTATGTTTGATATTTTTTATATGTGATTGTTTGTTAATTTAATTCAAGAATTATTTGAAATTTAGTGTCTAGTGTTATTATTTTATGTAAACTTAAAGTTTTCTTGCTAATAATACGTATATTCCGTGATTTATACGTTATACGTATCATTAGAAAAGGATGGAAATATTCCGTTTTTCTTTATTATTTGTTAGAATACAATAAAATTTTGGGTTTTTGTTTTTGATTTATTAAGTTCTTAATTAATTTCTTTATATTTGGTTATATTTTTTGAATTTTTACTTAACAAATTTGTTTATTTATGAGAAATTAACTTTTTAGAGAAGGATAGATATACCTTGTTTTCTCGTTTTTTTTTTGTTTGAATGAGTACTATGATTGGTTATTATTTATTATTTTAGGAATTTGTTTATGTTTTTTAATAGTCTGACCTTAATTTGTGTTGTAAATTATGGTCGGTTTACAATAATTTTTTAAATTATTTGTGCGAATTTAAAGATTTCGGTTTGTTAGCAAGGGTAAAGCTTGATTATTTCGGAAAGTTATTGATAGAATTTATTCATTTGGTATTTGATCGAAAGCTAATGTAATTTGTAACAATTGAATTACGTATCATCAACATGCTAAAATAATATTTTCATCGTGAAAATTAGCTTCAACTTTCATGTTAATAAAATAGAAAGATTTGTTTTACAGACTGTTAAAGAAAAACTTTGTAATTTTGGGTGTTTAATCCCATGAACATGTGGGACCTGGTATATCCCAAAAATCATCTGAATCATTATCTTTATCGTTAAATGGGTTTTGTTTATTGAGGA